TGGGGAATCGGGTGGAAAGGAGGAGTGTGCTGTCACAGTATGGGGAGAGCAATTAGGGTCACATAACAATGTATAAAATTTTGTATGGGAGACTAACTTGAAATGTAAACTTCATTTAAACTACAACAACAGAAAAAAAAAGTTAAAAAAAAAAAAGTATGGTCAGCACTCATGAAGTGTATTTTGGAAAACATATAGGAGGCTTGTGCTAGGAGGAGTTTCGTGTTATAGTTGGGTTATGATGGTACTTACTTAAGCGTTAACTACAAGAATCAAATACTGCCAAGCATTTCGAGCTCAACCAATCATTTCTTTTTCTGATAAATTAATGAGTTCAGTCAGGCAAGAGACAAGTAACTTTGTGGTCTGAGAAATAATTGGCAACAAGATGCCACAGAAGACTGTTTTTCCAATAGTCAGATGGCCCATAACACTTATTAGAAAAGACACATAATCTTTAAAATACTTCTGGTTCCCAATCAGTATACCAAGCCTAATGCAATATGTATCAAGCAGGTCAGGGGGTGATACAGGAATATTTTCTTCCCACACCGACAGTGAGCAAATGTCCATATATTCAATTTAAGATTTATCAGAAATGAAATGAAAATGTTTCTTCTCATTATTTTTACCATAACCTGTACTAAGAACTTTAGCCTGGATCATAACATAGTCAAAGAATAACTTGTTAAAACCAAAGGCCTTTACCTAATTTAACATAATAACATTTGAAAAATTTATCAAAAATTATTAAAGTCTGACAAAGGTGAATTGTGAGCATATGGGTTAATCAGAACACATGTCCCCTTGCTACAAGATGTTTGTCTCTCCAAGCTGGATTGCTTACACAGTGCAGATGGCAGTAAGAAATGCCCGTTGCCTACCTGACATAGAGGGAGCGTTTCTGATTGGTTCGCAGGGACCCGGACCCGGAGCTCATGCTGTGGTTCATCATCTGCTCTCGTAGGTCATGGATTTTGGCCTCAAATCGAGCGTAATCTGGGAATGGAAACAAAGGTGGCAAATTTGGTTTCATGCCTTCACAGAGTTAGGAACGCTGCACAGCCAAGGCAGCTCATCATCCGTGTTGTTGGTTCTTCTGTCAAGCAACAGGGAGACGCACAGCTCAAGAATGGTGGAGCACAGAAGGTACGCTTGCTTGGATTTATTTATTCACAGACATTCACAAAAGGAAAAAGAAAAATCAGTTACTTCCCAAAACTTAACTAGAAAGCACACCAGCATCGAATCCTCAACACATTAAAGGTCAATGGGGGTGGGAGGAAAGTGGTTGTGATTATGAACAGGCCGCTTGAGGGATTATTATGGTGGTGGAAATGTTCTGTATCTTGACTGTGCTGAGAGATACACTAACCTGCACTGATAACACTGCATAAATGCACACACAAATGAATACAAGTAAAACTGGGAAAATCTGAAAAGATCAGTGAATTGTACCAATGTCAACATCCTGGTTGTGATATTGTACTGTAATTTTGCAAGATGCTATCAAAACTGGGTAAAGCATACACAAGATCTCTCTGTATTATTTCCTGCAACTGCATGTGAATCTACAATTATCTAAAAAACAAAACAAAACAAACAGCATTGCCGTTGAGTTGATTGTGACTCATTAGCCACCCTATAGGACAGTACAGAACTGCCCCACAGGCTTTCCAAGGCTGTAATCTTTACGGAAGCAGATTGACACAGCTTTCTTCCCTGGAGCGGCTGGTGGGTTTGAACCACTAACATTTAGGTTAGCAGCCCAGCTGTTCACCACTGAGCCACCAGGGCTCCTTATCTAAAAATAAGAAGTTTAATTTTTAAAAAAAGGTGGGGATTAAAAAAAACTTGTCCATGAAACTCCCAAGGCTGTGGGGAGTTGAGGAGCATCTCCAGTTTGCCCTTAGGTTATAGACCAGAGAACCAAGTGACTGGTGATGAATGGTATAGGAAGGTCATTTAATTTCATTCAGTGTTTTCTGCTAGGGTGCTGCTAGAAGTTGATCACTTGGAATCATACCTCAAATTTTCCCCATAACTTTAGTATAAAAAGCCCACATGCCAAACAACATCAATTCTAAGATATACAATATATTTAAATATATTCACATAAATGTTTTTAAGAGATTGGGGCTAGATTGGGGAGAGAGAAATTCTTGCACATTAAATGTATTTTAGAAACATACAAATTTGAAAAATCTAGGAATTATGGGCAATCATAACATGCTATTTCTTATGGGAAGAATACTTTTGCTGTATGTCAGTCTAATAAAAATGAAAACAGCACAAATAAGTTTTAGATACTTATTAACACAATCAGCATGTAAAAAGAAATAGTTTCTGAAGTTCAGATATTCTTAATCATAACCTAAAAACTGTTCTATTATCTCCTTAGCACAACAGTGTCGTGCTTTAGGAAAATCCATTAGGTGAAAGGCTCAATTTATCAAAAAGATAGATTTGAAAATGTTAATTCAAAGTATAAATGGCTCTTTTAATTACAAAGAGTTTTAGTAGAGGTCCTCAATGCATTTAAAAATATAATTTGATTTTCAATTCAATTAACAACTTTTCAAGAAAACAAGGATGACTAAATGGATGTTAATAAAAGATGATCTACTTACAGTGTGTATCAAATTCTTTATTACAACAGTTCCACAAGATTAAATTTAATTTCAATTTACTGAATATCTATTGGTAATCATGGCATGAAATTTCCAAAAAGAAAAGATTTGATTTGGGTCTTCAACAGTAAATAAACAACAAGAAAGTGATCTCTGTATTATTGTGTATTTTTTTAAAGTTTAGTACTTCAGCGATAAAACCATAATAGTGGGCTGGAAATTTCTGGTGCTTAAGCAAAGGCTGATGTTATCTAGATTTGGAAGGCTTCCTCTTCCAAATTTAGCTTTGAATAATTAAATCTTAAATGATTAAGTAAGCAGAACACATATTTAACCTAAAATCATTTGTCCATAATTTAAGATAATTTATTTCATTTCATTTTAGCAGAGAGAAAAAAACACATATTTATGACCATCAATATGAGATCATATGCAGATTTAAATCATTTTGAGCAAATCTTATTTTCTTGCCACTCTAAAAACCAATTAACATTTATTGCTGGCCGCATGGCAAACACTGTGCTCAGTGCTTCATGAGCATCATCTCATTTCTTGTCTAAATTACAAAACAAAGTCACGGACATTGTAAAGATTTGAATTATATAGAAAAACACAGAATAAAAATTGAGAGCTGTCCTTGTCACTTCTCCCTTCTTATGCCTTCTTTCTCCTCTCTCAGCTCTCACTGCTGTCCTTCCCTCAGCTTACCCTAGAGGTACATGTTTGGTCATGTGTTGTCCTTCTACAGACATTTCTCAACTCATTTACATACATACATATATATACATACCATACACATACGGGACCATAACTCCGTATAAGTGTTCTAAGGTTCCCCCCTTTTTAGAGCATAACTTGGATCTTTTCTTACCTTCTTATCCATCCGTCCATCCATCCATCTACCTACCTACCTATACCTATCGATTCCTTATTGGCATTAAAAAAAAAAAATCCAAATCCATTGCTGTCGAATTGATTCTGACTCATAGCGACCCTATAGGACAGAGTAGAACTGCCCCATAAGGTTTCCAAGGAGCAGCTGGTGAATTTGAACTGCCAGCTTTTTTGGTTAGCAGCTTTAGCATGCCGTAACTCTTAACCACTGCACCACCAGGGCTCCTATTGGTATTTAGGCCTGTCTATTTACAATATTTCATTGTTATAAACAGGTATCTTGGTGTATCTGCTGCACGGTTACAGGTTAGCAGAGCGCTGGAAGTGGTTAAAGCTTTATGTAGCTGTCGACAGTCCCCACTAGCATTTCTCAGAGAAGTGATCTAGCCTGGGACACAAAACCAGAATTCAGCCTCTTCTGATTTATCTTCCGTGCTGCCACTTGTATACCACCCCGAGTAGTACTACTGAATCTCCCATCTGATCACAGGGCACCCTCCTTTACAACTTTGATGGTTTCACTATCTGTGATACAAACCTGAAATCCTACCCCTCCAACTGTTCCCTGTTAAGCATCTAATTCAGTGCCAGCCTGACCCCATGTGACCACGTTGGTACTTTAATTGCTGTACGAATCACACCAAAATGCAGTTATGTGTTCAGTTGCCCATCTTCCCCTATTAGACTGAGCTCTCTGAGGCAGAAGCCATGTCTCACTCTCCCTGCAATTCCCTGCTCCTAATGTAGTATCCAATATTCAGGAGACATTTAATAGAAGGTGCTCAATAAATGATTTATTCATGAATGAATTAATAAAGGGTGGGATGAGCAGAATCATCAAATGAATTCAGTTATAAAATGGCTGCACGTACTGAAATTGCCCATTGTTAATGTTACGGTTTTTCAATGAAGAAAGGCAATATACATCTCCTCTTGGACTTCTTTTTGCAAGGCTAAATATTCTAATTTCAAGGCTTTATTTTTGTTTAATCATTGCCACTCGGCTATATTTATTGTTCTCTGAGTGCTCTCTGTACTCTCCCATGTAAGTCACGTCATATGTTAGAAACACTTTGTTAGGCTCGTGTAGCCGTCCCACTTTCTATATCACAACAGGATACTTGCTTTAAAATAAATTGTGGTCTCCTTATGTTATGGCTCATTAGATCCCCAGAATGTTTCCTGCCATGCTTTTGAAATGTTTGTTCTGCTTCATATTCTACGGTGTTTACATTTCTGTCTCTAGATAATTTATATTACATTTGCATTAACTGAAATCCATCCTATTCTCAGTTTCTCCATTTTAACAGTCATTTTGATCACAAATCCTGTGTTCAAATGTGTTAATCCCTTTCTTTGTTCCTCTTTGAAAAATAAAGCTTAGGTATGAGTAATTTCATCAGGACAAGAACAAATGCATGTGAAAGCTGGACAATGAATAAGGAAGATCAAAGAAGAATTGATGCATTTGAATTATGGTATGGGCGAAGAATATTGAATGTACCGTGGACTGCCAGAGGAATGAACAAACTCATCTTGGAAGAAGTATAGCCGAAATGCTCCGTAAAAGTGAGGATGGTGAGACTTTTTGTCTCACATACTTTGGACATGTTATCAGGAGGGACCAGTCCCTGAAGAAGGACATCATGCTTGGTAAAGAAGAGGGTCAGCAAAAACGAGGAAGACCCGCAACAAGGGCGATTGACACAGTTATCTGCAACAATGGGCTCAAACATAGCAACGATTGCGAGGATGGTGCGGGACTTGGCGGTGTTTCGGTCTGTTGTACATAGGGCCTTTATGAGTGACAGCATCTAACAACAACGAGAACAGTAAGGTCTAATTTCCAGCTTCTCAGAGATAAACAAGTTTATAGTTCTTAGAAATGTCCTAGAAATAAACAAAAAATCAGCTTTGTAAACTGTGAAATATAAATCTTCTCTAGATTCTATAATAGTATTAAAAATTACATTTTTTAACAAGTTAAGACATAAAAACCTAACAAACACTGCCATTTCATCTTAATACCTTATTTCCTCCCCAAATATTTTATTCACATCTACGCTCTCCTCTATGGAACATTTTTCAATCAAATTCCTAACATTCCTTCTCAATTCCAAAGCTCTGGAGAACATTCAGGTGAGATTTTCAAGTGCTCCAAGCTCTGTATCATCTAGAGGGGAATTCATGTTTACTGCGCACCTGCAATGGGCTAGGGATCCACGCTACATACTTGAAAAATTATTTCTCCTGACAACAAAACTCTGAGGCAGATATATTACTTTAGAGATGAGGAAAAAGAGGTTCAGAGAGGTGAACTAACTTCACCAAAGTCACAGAGTTTCTAGGTAACAGAGCTTATTGGACATAGAGCTATGATTCAACCCTGGGCCTCTATGAGGCCATTTTTATTTTCATTATACCATAACACCTCTGATAATACCACAATTCTCATTTCGAACCTAAAGCCTCCTC